TTTTATGCGAAGTCCATGACAATCACTAAACCAATTTTAATTCTTTCCTTTCTCAAATTAACAATCACTCTGATATAAAAAAAAAACACTAAAGCATTCTTACGTACCTGAACTGGGTCGATCGCTGTAGCGCGTGCAGTACACCCACGCTGGCCACACAATCGGCCCGCTGCCGCTCGCACCTGTGCCACTGGACTTTACAGCGCCGCCGCTGCTACCGCCGCCATTCGACTCTTCCGTCGACGTAGCTGCGCATTTCGCCGCTGCCGCTGAAAAATCACCATTCGCCGCTCCAGCAGCGCCAGGTGACTTTGCATGCTCAGAGGCGGCACCGCCATAGCTGCTGCTCACCGCGGTGCTATTAGAATCGCTGCTGTTTGTGCAGATATTCGCGAGTGTATGCGAAAAGTTCAGCGTAGCCGTCGAAGACGTTGTGGTGGTTGCAGTCGATGAAGCGCTCAAATGCGTTAGGTCAATGGCGATCGCGGAGTTGGTGGCATTAGCGCCAGCACTAGCCGAAGACGCTGCCGCAACTGCATTCACAGACGATGCTGCAGCCGCTTTCCGCGCACGTAGCAAAGCGCTGGTGCTATTACCGCCACCGTAGGTTTTCGTTGCGCGCGAGCTGCTGTTACACGCCGCCATGCAGGCTGCGCCCTCCGCTAGACGCCTGCCAAAGTCAGCTTTCAAAATATTGTCGATGCTAAATTTTAGCGCGGGCTCATTTAGATTGTTGTTGTTGTTGTTGAGGTTGTTGTTGGCATGATTGCTATGGGCATACGGAAAATGCGCTTGCATTTGCGCCTGTAGTTGGCTCAAGCTTGAAACGGCTGCCGAGGCGGAGGTGGGCGAGAGGTGCGTATGCGCTGTGGTCAAAGCGCTCAGCTTGCTCAGCGCGTCTGCGTTATTGGGAAAATTCGATTTATTTTGTTGCAATTGCGGGTGTTGTGAATGCTGCGCGGGCTGATTATTATTGGCTACCGCTGCTACAGCCACAGCTGCAGCTGCCGCCGCAGCGCTGAGTTGTGACATTTTTGTGATGGCCGTTAGTTGTGATTGTATGCCCGCCAAGTTGGACATTTGTTGTGACGCGCCTTGTACGCGCGCAAAAGCGCGTCTTTCCGCCGCAGCTACGCTCTCCACCGTGCTGCTGCCGCGCAACGTAAAAGCGCTGGCGCGCGCTGCAGCCATAAATTGCATTTGTTGCTTCACCAACTCCTCGGCGTACATGTGCGACTTTCGCATGAATTCCGTTTGAAAGGAAGCAGCGTGTGTGGGAGCTGCGCGCGGCACCATTGGCACCGGCATACGCAATGCGCTTGCCACTACATATGGATCGAGCATAGCGGTACCTGGTTGTAGAGGTGGCGGCGCCGGCTGTGGCTGCAATGTAAGTCCCGTCCCACTACCCACGCTCTCGTCGTCCAACTGCTGTATTGTATTGTCGTCCGTTGAGGCGCTCGAACGCGCATCACTGCCATCGCCGCCGTACGCTGAGGCGCCGGGCACATGTACGCTGCTAAAAGCCGACGGCGCGCACAATGCCATCATATTGCCAACATTACTCAGCAATAGCCGACGTTGTTGGTTGAAATCACAAAAACTGGGCGTCGTGTGGCTGCCACTAGTTGCCGCGCTGCCTCCCTCCTGCCCCACAGACAATTCGCTGTCCTCACTGCACAGACTAAGCGCATCATCGTCCTCTTCCACATCCTCACCCGCGTCTACTTCTACCCCGCCGTGAGGTGTTGCACCACCCAAACGTGTAGCGGCTGCTTTGGCTTCCAATTCGCTTATCGCTTGCGATCTCATATCCCCCTCTTCGTCGTCGTCATTGTCACCCACCACATCCATTTCATCAGCCGAATCGACCGCTTCGCATATATCTTCTTCCGGTTCCTCCGCCGCCGCCGATGCTTCCATCGGCGCGCTGGGTCGTCTGCTTTTTGCAGCTGTTAACGCTGCTGCGCTTGGGCTCAAGCGCGGACTTGTTACGCCATGCGCTTGCAACAGCATGCAATCTGGATGCATATCGACGCGTTGACGACGCAGGGCGTACAACTGCTCGAATAGGGGCGCGTGGCTATGCGAATGCGATGACAATAGGTTGGGCGCTTGCAGTGGCGGTGGCGGTGTTGTGGGCGATGCTGGGACTGACGATGTAACAGTAACGACAGACGGCGGTGGCGATGACGATGACCGTGACGATGACAGTGCGTGTTGTGTAAGCGATGCGCGCGTGGTCGCCACCGTTGACATTGAGCTACTTGCGTTGGTCAGCGCTGCGAAGGCAGCTGATAACGGCAATGGCAGCTATACACACCAGTTCATGGGGGCACATAAAGCGCTTTTACAGATAAGAACCAGCAGATACACTGTTTATGCAAAAAGCCGTCGGTAAGCTTGCAATGTGGCTTATAAAAGAGGCGCTACGCGGCGCGGCGCTTGCTGCCAAAAGCTTATAAAAGGTCAAGCGCTGCGCTTTCACAAACACAAATAACTATATACGCAAACGCACTCATAACGCGCGCGCACGATGGCTGCTGTCAGCGACAGTGTGTCAATTTCACTTTCTAAAATACCGCGCGTCGTTGATAAACAAATTTTTTTAGTTAAACGCGTTGGAAAGTTATTCACTTAATGTTCGATACGCGCTTGTGAAAATCGCGTCGGCAATTCACCAATTTACTAACTTCTAGTTAAAACTCGCAACATGCTTCCTCTCTATCGTTTTCTTTTCACATACACTGTTCACTTCACTGTTTCTTCTTCTTCCTTTTCGTTTATTTTCTTTCTTGGCTTAACTATTTGCTTTGTCGGTCGAGGCTATAAAATTTCCAAGTAAAAGAGACGCGCGCGCCCGTTCACTAACTCTTCGCACTGCTACTCTGGCCGAACACGTCGTTTAACTGAGACCGGCGCCGTCGCGTATAGCCGCACCACATGCGATCGCACATTAAACGCCTGCCGAGTGCCTCCGCGCGCGCCCTCAATCAACACAAATTTCATATTTGCCAGCACATAAGTGGCCCATATAGGCTCAGTCGCTTGCTCTTATGCTCATTGTTTGTAAAATTCAAGTGGTCCGCATCGAGTGCCAAAAGCAACAGCAGCACTACTGCTGCGCGCTCTCACGCACACATGCGCGCGCGAACGCTAGCACCACCACCACTCACGCTCTGCTCATCCGTGCGAGCCTTAAAAGCTCAGTAATAGGCGACGAGGTCCAATGGGAATGGGCGCAGTAGCGGCGTTGTTTTTGGTGTTATTGACTGCTTTGCTACAGCGCTGCGTTTCGCTCCGTGGTTTGACCAGTTTTTAGCCGCGCGCTACTGTGTGAGTGAGCGCGCTCGTGCTGGTTGCGCGAAGCAGCGCGGCAGTTTACAACGCACTAACACTTTTGCGCTCCGTTGTGTGTGGCGAAGTATATAAGCGCGCTATAGGGCAGCTGGGCCGGCGTGTGGTGAGAGTGAGTAGGCAATAGTCGTTGAGAGCGCGCCATGCGTATGAGCGAATGCAAGGGAGTATACAACGCGCGAACACCAATTTTCCTATTCGCACTTACGCCTGGGTTCCGTTGCAAAGAATTAACTGCTGTTGGTGTTTTTTATTCTTGATTATTGGCTTATGCGCTCTTTTCATTTTCAATTTATTGGCTTTGCAGCTGTTGTTGTTGGCTAGTTATATTTCACGCAATTCATTTTGCTTTTGCTTTTCAGCTCTTCTCTTTCGACGCTCTGCTAGTAGTCCTTTATTATTGTTGCAGCCTTAAAGCCACTGTTTTTGTTATCCTTTTTGTTTGTTGTTTGTTCTTCATTCATTTCCCTTCCGTTTCTCCAACACTTCTACCGGCCTTCCTTTTGTTGTTATTGTTCTTGTTGTTATACTGCCTTTAGTACAACCACTTTAATTTCTGCGGTTTCGCCATTGTTCTCATTGTTGTTGGTATTGTTGTATGTTTGTATTATTTTCCTTGCTGTCATCAATGTTGTTACCCATATTCCTTTTGTGAACTTTGCTGTAATTACAGTTGTGTTTGTTTTGTTGTTGTTGTTGTTGCTTATTGTATTATCAGCGTTGCAACACATCGTCGCTTTTCACATGTGTGTATGCATGTGTTCTTTTTATTTTTGTTGCTGCTGTCATTTGAGGTTATGTTAAGTGCTTGTATATTTGTTAATTAAGTGCGGCGTCGACATTTGAGCTCATTTTCGTTGCTGCCGAAGTTAGGCAAACCGTGTTGCTGCTATTATTGCTGCACTCGTCCTAGGTTGGTCGATAATTTGATCTTATTTAGACCAGATTTTCAGGCCATTTACGAAATGCACTTTGAGTTAGGAAACATAAAATATAATTAGCACGTTAAATTTTTTTCAAACACCAGGAATAGGATATAGGTTTTACTGAAATTTTCAACAAAAAAGAAAGATATGTTATTTACATTATAATAAGCATGGTATATGTATGTATGTTTCTAAAGTGCTAGAATGCACTCCTCGATAAAATTGTTAGTTCAGCAACATGTGACCCAGTTACATTTCCACTTCCGTAATTTGAAGCACAAAATTGTTAAAAAAATACCATATATATTAGGGTTGTGATGCACTTAGTGCTCTTGTAGGCATACCGCCCTTCCCAATTCTAATAGAGAGGGAGGCCAGTCTCTCGGCACTGAGAATCCTAAACACTTCCGAGTTAAAAACCGGAAACATGACAGGTCATATGAAGGTCCTTATGAAATTCACAAATGACCCCATAATGCATATGAGGGACTCAGTAGCTCCGATACTAGCAATTTCTAGGAATTTCAAGGTATCTATTGCGGACCGAGCATCCTGGAGCACAGGAAACCCCTACACCAAACCCGGAGCTGAAGTTTGGTACACTGACGGATCAAAACTTGAAGATGGAAAAACAGGAGCTGGTATATTTGGGCCAAATTTTAAAAGATCGATACCAATGGGCAGCTACCCCACCATTTTCCAAGCAGAGATTCATGCGATCGATATCTGTGGCAGAGAATGCCTCAGAAGAGGCACATCCTCTAAAAACATCTGCATTATGTCGGACAGTCAGGCTGCCTTGCTAGCACTGAGGTCCCACATAATAACATCCAAACTAGTGTACGACTGCCTCAACACCCTTAACGGTCTTGGAAGCAAGAACACAGTATTACTGGGCTGGGTGCCGGGGCACGAGGGCCATGACGGCAATGAACAGGCGGACCGCCTAGCAAAACACGGAGCTACCACACTATTCCATGGCCCGGAACCCTTCTGCGGGCTCACCAAAGCCCACTTAAGGGAGGTCATAAACAAGTGGGTCGACAAAAAATTCGAAAGGCACTGGAATGAATGTCCGGGGCAAACACAAGCTAAGCGGTTCATCTGTCCATCACAAGAAGCTTCAAAAAAGCTCATAAATCTAGGCAGGGAGGACCTTCGAACTCTCACTGGGTACTACACGGGACATTGTTCCCTGCGTTATCACCTCAGTAAAATGAATCTTTCAGACACGAGCGTCTGTCGCTTCTGTGAGATGGACGAAGAAACGCCAGAACACATCCTTTGTGAATGTGTTGCTCTCGCTAGACGCAGACTCGCTCACCTAGGTGGTACAACACTTAATCCATTCGAAATATGGAACAAAAAGCCCACCGAAGTGCTAGCTTATATTAAAAGCATTCATATCTAGGGTAAAGGGCCACGCACAATATACCACCTTAGAGCACGCAGTGCTCAAGGCTCATAATAATAATAATAGGGTTGTCGTTAATAAATCAAATTAAAAAAAATTCAGTCTCAACCTCTCAATCGGTAATAACACGATCACAGTTATCACACACATATTTTGGTCCCGAATGGTAACTGTTAAAGCATGTCGCACTCAAAAACTAAAAAAAAAAAAAAATATTTCTTTTCATTTAATAACTCTGAACTTTGACCCCTGTTTGACACGCTTTAACCGTCACCAATCGGGACGAAAATTTATATATGAAGAAAAACTTAATTTTAATTTTTTGAGTCTCTATAGATAGTAGCATCGTCGGAGGGGTTGATGCTTAGGAAATCTGATATGAAAATTGGTTTCCTTAAATATACATATTTAAAATTAACACAATTAAATAAAAGATAGTGTATTGCAACAGCGAGGAGCCTCAAATTCAATTCTGTCCCCCAGAAAAAATGTTCAATCCCAGTTTTTTAAATATTAGGAGAGCGTGTAAAGGCGGTGTTCCTTCAATAAAGAAAATAGAAAGTGTATTGAAGGCATTCTCGTCGCTCAACTTATTTACGGGTATTTTTGGGGTATACTTCGGACGTTTATTTCGTTGTTTAAGTTGGTTTGCGAATAATTGCGAATTTCGCAAAATTTTCGGTTGCTGAAATTCGGAAAGCTATACATATTTTCAATCCACATGGCAAAATTTTATTCATGCAAACCATTATATAGGCTTCGAGATCGCAGAAATGGTTTTTGTTTACGCCTACTGTGAAAAATTTTAATTTTTCAAGTGATAAACATGTATTTCAGTTCCACTGTTTTAGTCAT